GTTGCCCAGAAGAGAGCCCTAGAAACTGCCAGGAAGAAGCAGCCCCGCCTGCTCCGAGGCCAGGCCGGCACTGTCAGCTGAGGGGGACCAGGGCAGTTCGGATGCTGTCCTTGTTCTCGGAGCTTGGGACCCCAGGAAGACCCGGGGCGTTCCTACCCTTGGGAGTGATGCCCACCCACCATCTGCTGTGATCCCTGGGAGGGGAGGAGGAAGTATATTTTGTCTTTTCCAGCTGGCTCGGTTATAGGAGGGGCAGTTGAATGATCTGCCTGCAGACATTCAACTGACTGTGGCAGGCACCGCCAGGATTTGTCCCTGGACTTCCACCCATTCCAGTTTCCTCCTGTCCTACCTGCCCCTCTTCACTCTTCCGCCCTGGAGTAGAGCCTGTGCAAGAGACCTGAAAAATAACAAAGAAAATGGGTCAGGGGAGCATGGCCTCCCGTGGCACAGCTAAGCTGGTGACCCCTCTAAACAAGGCTGCAGGGGCAAACACAAGCCCAGAGCCCCAGGGAAATCTGCTTTCAGGCAAACAGGAAGTCTGGTTGTTTTTTTTTTTTTTTTGTAAGTCCCATGTGACAACTGGAAGAACTTATCCTTAATGTTGTGCCATTTGTCTGCCATTCCAGTTTACCTGGGCATTCTGTATTTGCCAGGTGGTTTGGGCACAAGATAGGATTCTGGAAATCTGAAAGGTGAGCAAAACCAGAAGCAGTGACAGCAAAGCCCAGTCATCCTGCCTCCCACCGCGCGGAGGGCGCTTGCATCACCCATTCCCGGCCCCTCGCAGCCACCCTGGCATCGCGCTTGCAACCTGCTTCCGGCCCCTTAATTGGATGAAGTGTGCAGCCAGGTGCCCGCCGAGGACAGTGGAGCTGTCAGGCGGGGAGGGAAATTACCCTCAGATTCAGGGAGTTGAGCTGGAGGCTGATTTATTGATTGCCTTGAAATAACAGCAGTCGAATTACGCCAGGCAGGGGCAGAGTGGCCGGGGATTGTGCTTCGTGGTGAGGCACACATTTTAAATGTACAGTGGCTCACTCATGACAGACATCTGCATCTCTGTCACCGTGACCTCAGCCACGTCTTTGAATGTCCCCGTCTCCTACAAGTCCTCTCCAGCCCTTCCTGCCCCCACGCCGCTCCCAAGTGCAGGTGGACGGTGCTTCGTTCTCTGTCCCTCTCAGCAGGTACACAGTTGCTTTGTTTTGAGGGGCTGGGGACTGAATCCAAGGCCTTTCACATGCTAGGCGGATGTTCACCCTGAGTCACACCCCGGCCTCTGTACTGGGTTTCTGAAAGGATGAAGTCATACTCTAGGAGATAGAATGTGAGCAACTCGGGGATTGCCAGCTCTGCCTTCCTGATTCTGCAGATGAGAAATGGTCCCGAGAGAGACACTGGCTCCCCTGAGGGTAGAGGATAAATTGGGCAGAGGGGGCATGGCCCCAGGCCCTGACTTCATGGTGATGTCGGCCTGCTAGGAGCGGGGGTCACACACCCCTCAGGTACAGCTGGCTTCATGTCCTGAAAGTATTACCTTATCAGCTGGAAGGGAAGCGCTAGTGGCCTCTGAAGGGAAGACATGACTGCAGGAAGTGCTCTCTGCTGCTTGGGAGGGTGGTCGTGTCTCCCAGGGCTGTCCAGAGGGAACCCCACGGGCTACCCGGACACAACTCCTGACCCAGCGCCAGGCCGCCTGGCTGCCTGTGCTGCAAGGGCCGGCGCTCCGGCAGGAATTCGCTCCCAAATTCCTGGGTCTTAGCGGACTGAGCCCCTTGGGGGCAGGCCTGGTTGTTCATGCATTTTCAGAGCCTCAGCAGCACGTGGCAGTGCTGCCAGCACACACCACCAGTGGGCACCGGGACCAGGTTGGTTGACTCGGGTTGAATCTTAAAAGACACAGCAATGCGGCAGTAACAATAAAAAGCTTTTGTACCTCGAAGGACATTATTAAGGAAGCAAAGAGAAAATGCATAGAATGGGAGAGTATGATTATAAATCATGTACCTGATCAACTTTAATATCTAGAATACATAAAGGACACAGATCAACAATAAGAAGATAATAAACCCGGTTTTTAAAATGGGCACTGGACATTTCTCCAAAGAAAGTATCTAAACGGCAGTCAGTGCGTGAAAAGCTCCTTAGCCTCACAGGTAATGGGAAAAGGCAAAGGAAAGCCAAAGTGCCACTTCTTACCTGCTCGGGTGGCTGTGATTTTAAAAAGTGGGAATACAGCAAGTGTCAGAGAGGATGTGGAGAAACTAAACTCCTTGTGCCTTGCTGGCGGGAATGTAGAAGGGCACCGCTACTGTGGAAAAGCTTTGGCAGTTTCTCAGTAAATTAAGAACAGATTTAGCATATGACCTCGCAATTCTGTTCCTAGGTGTATACTCAAGAGAAATTAAACCACATGTCCGCACAAAACTTGGACGTGAATGTTCACAGCAGCATTACTGATCATAGCCAAGAAGTATAAACCCGATTGTCCACTAGCAGCTGATTGGGACAAAATGTGACCTCTTTATGTAACGGAATAATAATCAGCCATTAAGGAAGAGTATGAAGTGCATATGTGCTCTAACGTGAGTGAATCTTGAAAACATACAAAGTGAAGGAAGACAGGCACAAAGGCCACACCCTGCATGATTCTGTTTATGAAACATTCCAGAACAGCAAACCCACGGGGACAGCCTGCTGGTGGTTGGCAGGGGCTGGGGGGTAGAGATGGAGGGGACTGCTGATGGGGCCTGTTCCCTTTGGGGTGATAGAAGTGTTCTGGAATGAGGTTATGGTAATGGTTACACAGCTAAAAATCATTTTGAGCTTTATATAAAAAATTTTTTTAAGTATGAAATGACCTTAAACAGTATAAAGTCTATGGCCCTGGGCCTGGCGGTGCCCCCTGCAGGCTGGACCTTGTGGACCCCAGCGTACTCTCCAGCACCCTGCACGTCTCCCAGCCCTCCAGCTCTTCTCTTCCTCCTTCTGAGAAGGGATGAGCCTCCCACTTGGTCCACAGTCCACGGAGGGCACCTGCCCAGACAGGTCAAAGGGCTGTTTATTTTCCAGGAGAGCTGCAGCTATGCCAACAGCTGGGTGAGGAGAGGGCCAGGAGGGAGTTCCTCCCTTGCCCCGCTTTCTGTAACACATCTGACTCACCCTTCCCTTGGTGCCACTTCCCAGGAACCCTGAGGCCTGGCCTAGGTGGGCTCTGGGACTCATTCAGTGGCTGCCTCCTGGGAGATGAAGTCAGTGGCCTTGGGCCAACACTTCCGGGGGACCTGGAACCAGTGGCCACTCCCCAGTTTTTTAACTTCTGGGGAAAGGCAGGTCCATCTGGGAAACAGCGCTGGGTTCCAGATGGGAGTTTCGGGGATTGGGACGCTGACAAACCGCCCCTCTGGCCTGCTGTCCCCAGGACTACAGTATCAGTGTCCCCAGGACTATTGTTTCAGCACTTGCGGAAGCCTTCATGATCCTTTCTATCAGATGCTCCTCTAATGCAGGGGAGTCACGTCCTGATAAACCCATTGTAAACTGAAAATACCGTAAGTCTGTGCATTTAACACCCTTAACCTACTGGCGTCATAGCCCAGCCTTGCTGCCTTACACATGCCCAGAATGTTCATCTTTGCCCACAGTCGGGCAGAATCATCTGCAAAGTGTGTTTTATCATGAAGTGTTGAACAGCTCATGTAAGGCGCTGAATACCAGCGTTCACAAAAGGCTGGCCGCACAGCCCAGGGTAGAGTCTCGGTTGTTTGCCCTTGCGATCTCAAGGCTGACCCAGAACTGTGGCTCGCTGCCCAGCACTGTGAGAGAGGCTCGTACCACGTAACTCTGGCCCAGGGGAGGCCCAGCTTCAGAATTTAGGGTGCAGATTCTACCGAAACCGTATTTCTTTTGTACCGTCATAAAGTTGAGAATTTTTAAGTTAAAGCGCGCCTTAGGTTGGGGGCCATCTCCATATGCACATACATGCAGACGTGCATTCATCCTCAGAGCTTACGAAGGTGACCTGCTCGCCTCAGTAGACAGGCCGTGTTTCCTATGCTGCGCCCTCCTTCCTGGCCTCCCTCTCCTCCTTTCACCTGTGCACCCATCAGTGCCCTGGGCCAGGCACCAGCGGGAGCCCCCAGGGCAGTGGCCAGGCAGCTGCTGAAGAGGCCTGAGAGCCACCTGCCCACTTCTCTCCCCTGCCAGCTGCTGGACACGGAAGTCTCATCAGGATGAGTTGGTAAAAACACAAGGCTTCTGTGTCTAAAAGTTACACATGTGGAAGCTTGCGCCCTGGGGAGCGGCGTAGACGGGCACTGGTGGGGGTGAGGGGCTTGCCTTCTTTATAGTTTTGGCCCTGGGGTGGACACCGGGTGTCCCCAGCGGTGGCAGGAGCTTGTGAAGGTGGCCGTGCCCCAGGCCTTCCTTTGTGGTCCCCACTTCCCGCTTGCCATCTGCTGGGGCCCTTTTGGATTGGGTGAAGGGACGCTTTCGACTTCTGGGATGACCTCATCACGTGCTGGTCTACAGCAGCGTGGTGAACCCACGGCACGTGTGCTGCGGTGAGCACGCAGAGCGCGCTGTGCAGTGACGTCACAGGTTGTCAGAGTTGTTTTTCCTAAACTAACACCTCAGCACTCAGGTTTACCTGCATCGTTGGTACTTTGTGATAAATGGGTGGGTTTGGGTGGCAGTTTGGGCACTCGGTCTCTCAAAGGTTCACTGTCACTGATCTAGAACCACTCTCCTCGTGAGCTCGTGGTTATTTGACTGGCACTTGCTTACCACAGGCGCTGGTCCATCCACAAACTAGGGGGTGTGGAAGTCCCTGAGAACCCTGGAGGTGGCACTGGCTACTGGAGGTGGCACAGCAGGTGTCCCGTGTGTGTCTCCTTGGCACTGGGGGCTTGATCTTGGGCACCCGGAGCCGCTCCCCTCGCCCTGCCCGGCTCTCCCGCAGGCCCGGCGTCTCACTCTCTTCTCTCTGCTGGGTGCAGGTTGCAAGATGGGAGCACAGAACCCGCAAACTGAGCAGTGCCTTCAGATCGCCGCACCTGGCCTGCTACTCTCTGGGTGGCGTCATCCTGCTGCTGAACGGCCTGCGTTCACACTGGTAAGCCCCAGCTGGCCTGCCGGGCGCCCTGTCACCGTGAGGACGCAAGCCCTGGAAATGGAGGCGGAACTGTTTCCCTTAGAACGCAGGGAGCGCACTGTGTCTGCGTGCACAGGGAGCTCTGTCCTCAGGACCTCCTGCCCTAGCTGAGAGGCCTCCTGAGCTCTCAGTCAGTGGGAGAGTCCTACTGACCTCAGCAAGGGAGCGGTGAATGCGGCAGTTCTACTGGGCAGGGGCTTGGGGAGGAGGAGCAGAGGGGACAATGCCTCGGTGGCGCCTGTACTCACACACCCAGAGCCTTCTCCGAGAGGTGCCAGGACAGGGGGCAGATGCCCTGGTGGGGAGCTCCCCATAGCCGGGGCCAGACTGTCCAGGGGCCCAGGCTTGGACCAGTGTTTAAAATCACTTGTCCTTCTGTGGTCTTGGGACATGGTACCTTCCTGCCATCAACGAAAAAGGCCAGAGCAAGTGCCTGGATCTCGCCGAGGAAGGTCAGGCCAGGCCCTCCATCCCTGCTGTGCAGGGAAGATAGTGGGATGGAGCTGTCAGACACAGGTGGAGTTCTCTGTGACTCTGGCTCTCTCTGGACCTCAGGTCCACGTCATTGTTCCAATCTCTCTCCAATCCCCATTCTATTTAAGCTACTGTGATAGCTCATGGGCTGAATGTGGCCCAAATAAAGAAGTGGCCAGGTATGGGGGTGCATGCCCGTAATCCCAGTGCTCTGGAAGGCTGACTCAACAGCTTGGACAACTTAGCAAGACCCTGATTGAAAATAAAAAGGGCTGGGGATGTAGTTCAGTGCAAAGGCCCTGGGTTCAATTTCCAGTATTGCAAAACAACGAAAACATGAGGAAGTGGCCTGGGAAGCCCTGTCTCGACAGTTTAGACATGCTGGCGGCCCTGTGCAGCTCCCGGGGAGCAGGACACTCGGGGCTGTTTTGCAGCTGCTCCCTTGGATAAGGTCTGCGTGGGTGGTCCGGCCTTCCCAGTCTTTCGGCCTGCCTGGCTCGCAGGTGAGGATGCACACAGGAAGTGACCCGCGTGATGCTCAGTGCTCGCTGCCTGGTGGGTGGGAAGCTGGTGGGGCTTGAGGGGTAACAGGCAGGAGCCTCACGCTCAGATGCAGTCGGCACATGGTTCAGGCTTCCCTCCCACACCCAGGGTACCCTCTGTTGTCAGCGTCCGGGCTTGGCCCTTCTGTGAGCAAGGCGTGTGGTGGGGTGTGAGGGTCCTACAGGGTCAGCCTCCCTGCTGGACCTTGGCTGTGGTCTGTGCCTCTTTGCACCTTGCCCTGGGGCTGCCTGCCGTCTGCAAGCGAGGTGGGCATCTCAAGGGTCTTGGTTCTCAGAGGTAGCGATCCCTTGGCACCTGGCCTGACCCTTCCCCAGGGGCCTCATTCAGGCCAGGACAGGCAAAGACATGGCTCTCAGTGCCCACTCAAGACCTCCAGGCCATCAAGGCCTGCAAGCTGACCAGCTACTGGACTGCCCAGCCTGGGGAGCATTCCCACATTTGTCCCATTGTGCAGAGGAAGCAAGTGAGCTTTGCTAAGAAAGCATTGATCTGCCCAGGGTGCCACAGAACTGTGAGGAAAGATCTGATCCTCTTAGGCTGGAGGGCTGGGGCAGTCCCAGTGGCCAGGCTAGGCTCTCGTGAGGCGGAGTCTAGAGGAGAGGGACGTGGGCCTCTTCCCAGACCTGCCACCTGGGAGGCCCCCTGTGGACTGTCCCTCCGCATAGAGGATGGGCTGTTAGGCTGCTCCAGGTGGGGATGTGGGCCCTCCAGACCCGGAGCAGAGCCTTCCCAGCAGCTGAGGGAGGCCGGGGTGGTAGCTGCTGCAGATTGGGAACCCCCAGAAGCAGGGCTGCTGGGAGACGCAGAGAGGATGCGAGACGCATTTCCAGGCTGGGCATGCCGCGGGAGGAAGGGGCAGAGTCCCACGGCCTCACACCCCACTCAGCTGGGCCAGGCCGGGTGACTATGTAGGAACACTGGCCAGGGCCGCAGATCGTAGCCGTCAGTGTGCTGGGTGTGGGCAGCCATGCGGGGCTCTCGTGGGGCCCGGTAATCCCAGCAGCTTCCCCGAGGGTAGCCCTGAGGGGCCCGGGGCTGGCGTGGAGCGAGCCCAGCTGTCCCGACCTGAGCCCTCCTGCCAGTTCTGTGGGTCCTGTCCCTGGGAACTGCTCTGTGGCTCAGCTCCACGCTGGCTCCCTGTCCCGCCTTGTCTTGGGAAGGGAACATGCTCAAGCTGGACGCCAAGAAGTTGTCCTGGGTGGTTTCCGGCATCTTCCCAATCAGTCTGCCGCACAGGCTGGACCTGCCCCGGGCCCCCTCCCAGATGCGTCCTCCCTCCCCGCACCCTCTGGACTATGCAGCTCTGTCGTCATTGGCCCCGGCCTTCTGGTCCAGGCCTCCACAGTCACAAGCATGATTGCCATTTGCAGCTGGCTTTCACGGGCCGTGTGAGCCCAACCACCGAGTCAGGCTCCCCTCGCTCTCCTGTGGCTGCAGCTCCCAGCTGTGTCTGCCCTGCTCTCACCACGGGGCTCCTGCCAGGCCCTGTACGGAAGCTTCCCTGAGCACATGTGTCGCCACCCCAGGCTCCTGCTTCGTCCCCCAGCTCCCGGGCACCTTTCCCAGTCCCTTTGTAGGTTTTCTTCCTACTGAAGACCACCTCTGTTGAGGCACCGTAAGGATCTGAGTCTGTCTTGCTGGCCAGGATGTGCCCAGGGCCACACCTAGAACTGATCATTTATTTTTTGAGAATGGATGAACCTGTGCTGGGCGTTTGGAAGCCCAGTTTCAGCCTAGATGACCTTCGACCTCTTGGAGCACCAACCCTCTCTAAAACCTCCAGTTGCAGCCAGGGATGTAGCTCAGCGGCTCAGCGCCTGCCTGGCAAGCATGAGGCCCTGAGTTCCATTCTTGGTACCAAACAAACAAACAAAACCCCTCCGGCTGTACTCGACTTGCCTGGCTGCTTGGGCCCTGCTTCCCTCTCCCAGGGCCTTGCTTTGACTGTGCTCATAGTACTGGCCTTCAGGTGGGTCCAACTGCCAGATGTGGTGCACAGCTATAGTCCCAGCACTCGGGAGGCTGAGGCAAGAGGATCATTGCAAATTTGAGGCCAACTTTGGCTACATAGTGAGTTCAAGACCAGCTCGAACTACATGATGAGGCTGTGTTTCAAAAAAAAGAGATGGGTCCAGCTTTCTTTCCCATGACGCAGGGCCACGGGGAGAGCCTGGCTGGAGCCTAGAGAGGGGCAAGACCCAGCCTCAGATGGGCTGTGCCCAGCCTGTCCCCACAGCCGCTGCCCCCGAGCCACCCAGCCGGAGACTGCCCTTCCCAGCGGGACCTAGGAGCCTGTGACAGAGAGCAGCACCTGGCGTGCACACAGCAGCGCTCAGCATGGTCCTTGTGTCCCAGCCTGATGCCGCCCAGGGTGCCGCACGCTTAGCACCCGCAGCCCTGCGGGACGCTCCCTGGGACCCGCTGGAGAGCTGTGGAGCCAGTGTCTCCGGAGGGTGGGACGCAGGTTAGAGGAGCCGAGTGCAGCAGTGCAGAGCAGCCTGCGGGCCTCCTGCGGGCTGCGGGGACGGGGTGAGTGGTCCTCAGACGTTCCTGCTGGCTCTCTTGGCCACACGGCAGTCAGGTGTTTGTGCATCCGGCACGTGGCTGTTTGGTGACAGTGTGTGCTGGAGGAGAGCTCCACTGTGCAGTGCTCCAGGGCAAAGACATACCGCACTTACTCCTCCTCGGCCGTGCGCAGGCCACTCGAGTTGCTCCCAGCCCTCTGCTGTGTTCGGTGCTGCTGGCTGTAGGGCACGCACTCTGGAAGTCCCCCGTGGGACCTGCGTGGGACCTTGCCCGTTCCTGTAAGCTGGCAGGAGTCTGCTTCCGTCCCTTTCGCATGCAGCCCCAGCAAATCTTAGGTGACCCTGCTCTGGGCTGGGTAGAGATGGCTGCGGGTGGGGTGGTCCGAGCCAGGGGTGGGGTGGCCTGCGGGGAACTGGATTGATAAGTCAGGTGAGATCTGGCCACAGCTGGATATGGTGGGAAACAGGGAGCCATGGAAGGGCTTGGAGCAAGGGAATGAATTAATGACCCCATCCTATTTTTTGTTTTATTTGTTTATTTATTTTTGATACTGGGAATCGAACTCAGGACCTTGTGCTTGCCAGGCGGGTGCTTGTGCCACTGAGCTGTATCCGCAGCCCCATCCTAGTTTTTGATTTGGGAAAGGCTTCCTTGCCTCCCTTAGCCAACCTCAGTCACTTGCACTGTCGTGGAGAGTTCCCCTTCCAGAAGGAGGCCTTGCCGGGGCAAGGAGATAACGTCCTGAGAACTGAGGGGTGGGAAGCAGATGCCGGCCCCTGGCAAGGGAGTGCTGGGTTGCCCCTCAGAGCCCAGCCTCCAGGCAGACAGCCTTTGGGCCTGCTCCGGCTGCTGGAGAGGTTTGGTCGTTGAGTTGCAGATCCCTTCCCCTCCCCATGGGTGGGGCATGCAGACACTCAGGCCCTTCTGGAGACGGTAGGGAGAGGCCAGGACTCCAGGGTTAAGGAAGCCCTGCAGGCTACTGAGACTGTCACCTCAGGCCGCAGGAAGTAACAGATGGTCCAAACTCCTGGACTTCTGAGGTCTTGGCTCCTGGGGTCCAAATGAGGGTTTAAGGGTTGGCAGGTTGTACCCCAAAAGTCACTGCACCGGCAGTCTGCTTTTGGCTCAAAAGCCAAGAGTGGTTTTACATGGGTACATTTTTAAAATTGTAAAATACACATATATGAATTTTATCATTTAAGGGTATGGCTCAGCGACATTAAATACTTTTATGATGTTTCATAACCCTCACTACTGCTCCTCTCCAGAACATTTTTTATCTTGCAAAGATAAAACTCAATACCCCTTAAGCACCTAATTACGCATGCCGTTGGCCCCAGCCCCGGGCAGCTCCATCCTGCTTTCTGTCTGTGCCTTTGACTACTCTAGGGACCTCA